GAGAAACTTAGATTTGCCGTTCCACTTCTTTATGCATTTATTGATTGATTCTTTTATGTACCCTGACAGGGGATGAAACCTACAACCTTGGCATATGGACACGACACTCTAAGCAACTGAGCTACCTCACCAGGACAAAATAGATGTACTTTTGGCTCATTCACACTGGACAGCTCTTGTTGTGCTGGCTGTAGTCATTTTTTATTTGACAACCTAAGGAGAAAGAGGTCAGTGCCCCTGACCAAATAGTCAGGTATTGCATGTCTTTAAAAATCGCTGCTCTAAGGTCACATTAGTCTGACCACAGACTGTTGCTCTTGCACATACTAAAAGTTTATGCGAAAGTTAGAAATCTCAGGCCATGGAAAATATAGCACTTTCCTCCTCTTTGCAACCATCGATTCACCTTTATCACTTGACCCCAGGGCACCAATCCCGTTCTCCTTTCCTCAATAAAATTTGATTACTTAAACATTACATACAGCATCACCTAGGGAGCTTAAATTAAAAAACAAAACAAAAAACTAATGGTTTAAAGTAGGCACCAGATAATTAAATCAGGATCTCTGGAGGCAGCTTCCAAGTATTGACTTTTCTTTTTTTAAGGCCAGAAGGGACTCAAATGTGCACTCAGGAGAGAAAAAAGACAAGATCGTAATCCAAGTTCCTTAACATGACATCCATGCTCTAACTCCAGGCTAACAAATGAGCCACTACCCTCCTGTTAGGTGCCACTTACAGCCTCTAACTCCCGTCTTTGCTACTGCCATCCCCGCTGTCTAGTGCACCCATCCCGCTTTGTAAATGTCTGAATGCCTTCTAGTCTTCATTACAATGATATGCATAGCAGATATTAAATAAATACCTGCTAACAGTTATTTTATAAAAATCCTACTCCTCAAATCTAGGAATGAGAAGAGGATCTCTACAGCTATTCAAGATACCTGAACAGGTATTGTGAAAAGTTCCAGTGCTACAATGTGCTTATCAGTAAAGGTATAGAAAAACACAGAAGTGCAATAGCATACACACTATGGTGTCAAAAGCTGCATACTTCATGGGTTAATGATACCTGGTCAAAAAGTTGTTTGCCAGTCGTATTGGGCTGGATGGCAAATTCCAGCTCAGCGTCCATCGTGGTTACTCTCACGTTGATCTGGAATAAGGAAAAAGAATAGTCAGTAGGAAAGAAAATACACTTATTAAGTATTAGGCAGGAGAAAACACTTTTATCTGATTTCTAAAATAAAGTGATATAATATACAGGCAGTAAAGAACAATTCCATAATTGCACCTAATTGTTTCTTTAATAGATAAAGTAATAAGGTTTGATTTTAATCATAGGAAATCTTAAATCTACTTGCAAAACAAAGACCTTATGAAGTCTTCTTTTAAGAACATTTACTGAATACCTAATGTATACTAGTCACTAGGCCATGAGCTTCCCATATTCCCATTTAGCCCCAGCAATAATACTAGGAGATATGTTCATTTCCACAGAAACCGAAAGAGTTCCAATTATTTGGCCTTCGACACATGGATATCGAAGGCAGAATAGGTATTTAAACTGAGGTATAACTCGAAATTCTTTGAATGTCATTCATTATCTCATATTTCTTTAAACACAAAAATCGGTTTTATTTATACTGATTTGACATTTTATAAAATGTATTCTTCAGTTTATAAAAGCATTCATCGAATGCCCTTTGCTAGATTCTATTTTATACTCTAATTTGTTTTGTGTAAACACCTTTCTAGTTGGATTATCTCACCAAAAATGTAACATGCCTTAGCCAAAATAATTTTAACTCCAGAGTAGCATCTTTACTGAGAATTCACCATGATGTGGTACAAATATATCTCTTAAACTTTAACTCCACTATTAGAACTCTAAATCAGACTTACTTCTTCTTACACGTTTTACTCATTCTAACAACCACGATCTCTACACATATAGACCCTCTACCTTCTCCAATCAAATGAATCTTATAGATCGTTTCTTCTTTAAAGTAATATCTATTAGGAACTATTGTTACACATAAAACAATACATGTAAGATATGTAAACTATGAACCATAATAAAATCAAACCAATTGTGACATAATGCATATTTGGTCTTCATCCTGGGTCTTGACGAAGCTCCTAAAACCCCTGGAATTTCCTGAGTGACTGATGTGAGGAGCATCTTTTGTTATTTATAATAAGCCCCTTTCATCCAACCAGAGTTTATGCTAATGACTTGACTCCAGAAGGCTGGCTCCTAGACAGCTTCAGGGTGGGGAGTGGTAGCCAGAGGTTACCATGATTACATGGTAATCATCCATGTGATTAGAGGAACCAACCATGTGATTAGAGCCACTCACCCCAACCTCCAGGGAGAAGAGACAATGGGATCTGAGCTTATCATCAATGGCCTGTGATTTAATCAATCATGCCTACGTAATGGAACTCTCATAAAAATCCTCAAGGAAGGGGGGTTCAGCGAGTTCTGAGTTGGTGAGTGCACCCACATACAAAGAAGAGGGTGCATCCAAATTCGACAAGTACAGAAGCTCCTGAGCTCAGGACTGTTCTGGACCACACCCTACCTTCTTCCTCTTCATCTGTATCTTTCATTTGTATCCTTTACAATATCCTCTATATTAATCAGTAACAATGACTTAAGTGTTTCCCTGAATTCCTGAGTTATTATAACAAATTACAGAAACTGATGAGGGGATCATGGAAATCCTCAATTTGTAACCAAATTAGACAGGGCTACTGCTTATTTTACTAATTGGGTTGTGTCTTTTCTTACTCCTCTGTCGGAAATCTTTATGTATCCTAGATACTTTGCCAGTTATTCTTGTTGCAAAAATTTTTTTCCCCAAGTTTGTCATTCTACTTTATAAATTGCCCTTCTTTTTGGTAAACACATCCTTAATTTTAATATTGAATTTATCAATGTTTTTGTGCACATTTAAGAAATATTTCTCTACTCTGGAATTATGAAAATATTAACTAATCAGCATACATTTACTATATTTCCTACTAAAGTTTTATCGTAAGCTGTCTTCAATAATTTTTGCTTATGATTTGAAGTAGAGGTATAATTTCATTTTTTAATCCCCATGAGGATAAAGACTACTCTTTGACAAATCAAATGTCTATAGGTATGCATCTGATTTTGTGCTAATTCTGGTGCATTGAACTATTCTGCCAATATCATATTGTCTTGATTACTATATCTTTAAATAAGTCTTTATATCTGGCAGAGCAAGTCTCCCCTCATTATCTTCAGAACTGTCTTAGCTATTCTTGGCACTTTGTTGTTGCTCTTGACTTCATATGAAATTGTAAACTTTTCATTATAAATAATAATCATTACTCTATCATGCTTTAAACTGAAACTACACTAAGTTCATTTTTACAACAAATTATCTTGAAGGAGAAACGACATCATGGCTATGGTTCTCTCTATGCATTAAGTCTTCTTTAATATCTTTCCAAAAGAGTGTTAAAAATCACATTAATCATTTGCTAGATATCTTTCCCCTAGTTCATTATAATTTTGTAGCTATTATAAATACAGGCCCACCGTTTCTTGATATCCTAAAAACACTGAAAACTGAAGTTTATTAGCTAATTTCTAGCAAAAATTTGACATGGAGTAATGTGACTAGTGAATTAATTCATCCTACTTCAAATGAATATTCGTGCACTGACCTATAGAAGTATTAACGTTTTTGAGGTAATGCAAAGACCTCAATAGAAGTTTCATGATATAATGGCATTTACACATAAATACAGCATATTCACCTTTCTAAAATCTAAAATATCGCAAACAGTGAAACTCACCTAACATAAGGGATTCAAATTCAGGATTGTGAAAATGAAAAATATCTTTCCAATTTTGTTTCTGGTTTTGCTTCTGTGGAAATGCAATTTATTTTTATAACAATCCTTTTATGAGTTCCCTTGCCAACTGTTATAATGAGCCTGTAAATCTGTTTATATAAACCAGGGGCCAAAAAACTTCTTCTGTAAAGGACCAAAGAGTAAATATTTTAAGCTTTGCAGACTATACAGTCTGCTGCATCTACTCAACTATGCTGCTATAGCAACAAAGCAGTTATCCTATATAACTGTTCCCGTCACCGCTGCTGTGCTCGCCAGCCCTGAGCACGGCTTCTGGCTGTGCTGGCTGTGCGGCGCTCCCCCTGTGGGAGCGCACTGATCACCAGGTGGAAGCTCCTGCATTGAGCGTCTGCCCCCTGGTGGTCGGTGCGTGCTATAGTGACCAGTTGTTCCACCATTCGGTCGATTTGCATATTAGCCCATTGTTATATAGGACTAGAGGTCCGGTGTACAAAATTTGTGCACTAGGGTTTTGTGTGTGGGTTCCCTCAGCCCGGCCAGCCCCTCTAACAGTCAGGAGCCCTCAGGGGATGTCCTACTGACGGCTTAGGCCCGCTCCCCAAGGGAGGCGACTAGGCCAATCATGCGGTCAGGGGAAGGCGCCGCCCCATCACCCGCCACTGCTGCTGCCTCTGGCCTCCCTCTGTGGGAGGTGACTGAGCCAATCAGAGAAAGGCGCTGCCCCCATCACCCCGCTACTGCCGTCACTGCCAGTCACCGTGGGGTGACTCGTGGACTTAAATCTGTATACTATAGTTGAAGATATTAATATCTATTTACGTTGGTGAAATTACTACAGAGCTTTTTCCAACATGTTATTCACTAAAATGTTAAAATAAGTTATTAATAACAAAAAATAACCTTTTAATTATAAGCGAATCTTGCTTAAAAGCATTTTAAAATTAACAGTGTTAATTTTCATATATTATATACAGACCAGAAATTTCTCTGTTAAATCCAAAATCTGTTAAATTCAGTCAGTTCAATCCCAGCGGTTACAGTCAATTAAATCACTTTAGGTCCAAAAAATACAGGGTTTTTCAAAGAGCAAGTTTTTAATTTTGATGAAATCCAATATTTTTAAATGATTCAAACATTCTGTGTTCTATAAGAAACTCTGCCTACCCCGAGGTTGCAAAAACGTTTTCTTATGTCTTCTAGCAGTTTTATAATATGGGCTTTTGAATTTCGGTCCATGATCCACTTAGAGCTAACTTATTGTGTATAATATGGGATAAAGGTTAATGTTCGTTTTATTGTATGGATAACTTTTTGTTCCAACACTATTTGTTGGAAATAATTTCCCCATTGAATTGTGTGATAATCTTGTTGAAAGCATAATAATATTTTCATTATAATATATGTTGTTTCACTGATCCTACTTCAACAATATCACACTTTCTTATTTTCATAGCCTGTGAATAAGCATTCAAATTCAGGAGTGTTAAATTTTCCAACTTGATTCTCTTTAAAAATTGCTTTAGCTATTGCGTCCCCATTTTCCTCTCCTTTGCCCACCTCCATCCCCTACCCCCCTTTCTCTCTGGCTACCACCACACTGTTGCTTGTTTGAGGCAGTGGGCACACGATGCAGTGCACAGATGATATTTGTTGAGTTTGTACACTTGAGACTTGTATGGTTTTGAGAGCCAATGTCACATCAATAAATTCAATTAATAATAAAAAATAATAAAAAAACATAAAAACTTGCTTTAACTATTCCACATAAATTTTGGTTTAGCACTTCCATAAACATTTCACAACCAGCTAGTCAATTTTAGTTAAAGAAGCCTGCTGGGATTTAAATGACTGAAAGTATATTCAATCTACCATTGCATTTAAGGAGAACTGACATCTTAATGTTTTCCAGACATACCTAGACAATATATACTTTTTTGTGCATTTTAAGTCTTTCTCAGTTTTCAGTATAGAGATCTTGTACAGTTTCTATAAATTTATTTTTAAGTATTTTATATCTTCGATGCTACTGCAAATGATTTTTCAAATTTTACTGCTAGTATATAACAAAGACAACTGATTTTTAATAATATAACCTCTGTCCAACCATCTTAAATTCAGTTATTAGTTCTAGTAGCTGTTCTTTCTGAAGATTTTCTACATAAACAATCATGTCATCATCTGAAAATAGAAAAATTTACTTCTTCCTTTGTCATGGTTATGACTTTTATTTCTTTATATTCTTCTTTCCCTCAAACAATAAATGAACACTTTGTTTACCTGCTGAGTCTTTCAAGTAATTCCAAAGCGATATCCATGCGAGAAAATTCTAATAATTATAACCAATAATTTTTTTAAAAAAGATAATTGGCAAAAAGAAAATTACAAATAAAAACCAACAACCCAATTTTCTTTAAGAACATTTATCTTTAAATAAAACATCTAAGACTATCTAATGTCAGCATAGGTATCATGAGTATCAAAACCAGAATTATGAACTCTGGCCGGTTTCTCAGTGGTTAGAGCATCGGTCCTCGGACTGAAGGGTCTCAGGTTCAATTCTGGTAAAGAGCACGTACCTTTGTTGCAGGAGGACACAAGGAGGCAACTAATCGATGTGTCTCTCTCACATTGATCTCTCTCTCTCTCTCTCTCTCTCTTTCTCCCCTTCCCTCCCTCCTTCTACTCTCCCTAGAAAGCAATAAAAAAGATATCCTCAGGTGAGGATTTTTTTAAAAAAACAAAACAGAATTATGAGAAAAATAATAATGAATGAACCTCTATTCCTCCTATTATTTACTGACCACTGAACAACTTCTAAATCCTCACCGTATGCACCTCCATTTCATAAGGAAATTAAGAATGGAGAGACTGAACTAATCTAACAAAACACTCAAATTAAGTAACAGAGTCTCAACAAGAACTAGGACAGTTTGATGCAGAACCCATGAATTTTAATCTTAACTACAACGTTACCATACCTCTTCTTCACCGGCCCACATAATACTGCACTTTAGCCACATTAATCTAAACCAGTTAATAATAATATCAATGCCTTCTTCTTCCCAACAATTCTACCACAATACTTTGCCTTGTTCCAAAAGGAACTTACTGCCGAGCTGGCATGGCTCAGTGGTTGAATGTTGACCTATGAACCAGGAGGTCATAGTTTGATTCCTGGTCAGAGCACAGGCCCGGGTTGCTGGCCTGATCTCCAGTAGGGGGCATGCAAGAGGGAGCCGATCAATCATGCTGTCTCATCATTGATGTTTCTCTCCCCCCCTCTCCCTTCCTCTCTAAAGCAATAAAAAATATATATATATATTTAAAACAAAACAAGGAACTTAGTGCTATTCATTAAGTAGTGGCAAAAGTAAAATAAAATATACTTACTGGTTTCGGCATTTTCCTTCTCTTTTTGTCACCTTCTTTAAAAATTCTTCACTTCTATAAATCCTATTGTCACCTTCTGTTAAAAAAAAGCATAATTGATTATATTTTTAATATAATGCTTTTATTTAAACATGTGTATAAAATAAAATTCAAATATTTTATTTTTTTTGAATGTTTATTGAATTTATTGGGGTTACTGGTTAATGAAATTATGTTTCAGGTACAATTCTGAAAACTTAAAACATTTTAAAATTAAAAGTAACATAGTCTCTTGTTTTATTGACATTTTCAATGTTTTCTATTATCATTTTACATTCTCTAAAAATATTTATAGTTATGACTTAAAATAGCATGCATCTCAAATAGCATAAGGTAAAGCATACTGATCACCAACTAAAACTTTAGTTAGAGACAACATACAGCAAGGAAACAAGATTGCTCTGGGGCCAAATGCTGTCTCTGAGTCAGGTTCACCCCCAGACCCCGCCTGCTAGACACAGAGAGTAAAGATGAGGAGAGATGGATTCAGAGGTTAAAGAAATGAATCAAAAAATACCTTCCAACCTTTTCTCTGTATTGCCAAAAACCAAAGGAAATTCTGATTAATGTCAACTATAAAAGATAACTTTTTAAAGAAAATTATTTTTTCTTTTTGAAAGTTTAAAAATCCAATAGAGAAAATACACGAGTAAGCTTATTCACCTAAGGTCTATAAAACAGTCACGGTTTGCACAACTGCAATTTGCATGCTACTCACCAACAAATCAGTGGCCTCCACTGAAATGTAGATAAAACTAAAGTTAAATTGTATCTTTTCACCCCTATGGCTACAAAAGTGAATCCTAATCCAGGAAAACCATAATGCTACTGCGACTTAGGATAAATGTTCTTACAAACATCTAAAAAATTGGTTTTTCACCCTACAAATCTACCAAAATATCAAACATTCTTAATCATTATTCACCGTCCATAAAAAAGATTGTCATTCCAATTGGAAAATCTATAGTAAGAAGTATATCAGATAAATTATTACTTGAAATCAGCTTATACTGGTAGTATCTTTGCCAAGAAACTTTATTCATTATTCTAGCTTCAACTAAATTAATATACAATTAATTTTGTGTTTCAAAATTCTATTACCAGTTGCTTTTTAAGATGCTATAATTAATAAAACTGAAAATTCTCCAACCTGAAATAAAGGTAAAGCATTGAAGTAAGGTAATTTCCCTAAACTATACTCAATCAATCACATGCCAATAAACCTCCCTACAGGGGGAACTTCCTTCCAAATTATTTTTTATCTATTAAACTCCTCATTTCCTAACTCCCCCACTTTCACAGACCTAAACGTACTTCAGTTCTATCTTCTATTTCTATACTACCATCTACCCACTACCATCGTCTTAGTTCAGATCCTTTTCATCTCAGGTCTTAAAACAGCCTCTAATGGATCTGCTCTTAACATCATCTATATGCTAATAACCCCCAAATCTGTACATTTCTCCAAAACTTGCTTGGCTAACTTGGCTTGCTCAACATCTAAAGATTATCTCAAATATAAAGTGGCCAAAACACTTCAAACCCTACTCTATAGCTGAGTCTGCTTTTCCATAAAAGTCTTGATAATATCCTATATAATAAGAGCCTAATATGCTAAGTGTCCAGTCGTCCATTCAATCAATCAAAACATAATATGCTAATGATACGCTAAGGCCGTTTAACCACTCACTGATGTGCACTGACCACCAGGGGGCAGACTCTGACCAATAGGTTAGCTTGTGGCTGGGGTCTGGCTAATCGGGACTAAGTGAGACGGGCTGGACATGCCCTGAAGCCCTCCCTCGGTAACTCCCCTGCCCCGATTGTGCACCAGTGGGGTCCCTCGGCCTGGCCTGTGCCCTCTCGCAATCCGGGACCCCTCAGAGGATGTCAGAGAGCCGATTTCGGCCCAATCCCGCAGGCCAGGCCGAGCGACTCCACTGGTGCACAAATTCATGCACTGAGCCTCTAGTATTTCTAGAAAATTACTCACTGTATTCGCTCATGTTTTTTCATAGCTCTACTACATCTGCAGGTATAATCCTCTTTTCATTTCACTTTTGCCTTCCATTTTGTTTGATTAATTTTGCCAGAAGTTTGCTTAGTTTATTGGTCTAAAGGCCAGCTTTCAGTTTTAATATTGTTTCTTATATGGTTTTCTCTTTTGTTAATTTGTGTCCTTTTCCTCATTTTTTTTTCTCATTCGTTGGCTTTACTCTGTGGCTCATTTTCTAATCCCTAAAATTGAAAGGTTACCTAAGTAATTTCCAATCTTTTTTCTTTTCTAATACGTGCATTAAGGTCATAAACTAAGCATGCCCAAGTATAAGGCAGCTCTAAATATAAAGTGATTCTATTTCTCCAGTTAGAATATTTTAAAATAATTTTTATCTGAATATGTGAAATAAACAAATATATATTTATTAGTATACTTAGCACATTGCGAACAAGTAGTTTTATTGCTAGCTTTACCCAGTGGCCAGGTAAGTTTCTATTGAATGAGCACAAAAAATATTTTACATAAATGTTAAAGGCACGCTTTAAAATTACATACCCATTGCATGTTGAAGTGAGAATTCTTGTGATCCGTCCTCAATGTGTTAAATATTAAAATACGGAAACTGTAGACTATTCTTTTTGTCAGAATATTGTTTGCTTTATCTCGTATTTCATAGAAAATTTTTGACACAAGACATGAGTGCATCAAAACTTTCTAAATCACAGTAAATTTTCCAAATTACGTAAGCATTTTTTGAATCACTGTATTATACTATCACTAAAATTTTTATCCCAAGCCACAACTACCCATTTATATAAAATATTATTACTGTCTTGCTTATTTGTACCCTTTAGATATATTTTACTATCTACAGTGTAGCCAGAGTGTGTTATTTTTTAGTGATTTTTTTAGCACCAGATCTGTGCTAGATTTCTTTGCCTCTTATCAGATAAGTTCTGAGCTTTCCAAACTCACAGGCACTAAAAGGGCACTTCAGGTCAACGTGCCAGTCTTGAACTTTCATGTGCAAAACAAAGAGAACAGACGTGAGGATTTCTTATGCTCAAGAGAAAGAGAACATGAGAATTACAATGAGAGTTTCTAAGAACACATATACATAAATTTGAGGAACATTTTTTGAGAAAATATCTTAACTTCTATTTGAATCCATAATATTTTGCTAAATCATTATAGTGGTTTTTCACATGTTTTTATATGTACTTTTTCATGGTTGTTTAACTCTGTTTCATTTTTCCAATTATAATTTCTAATCACGACTAAGAACTTTAAGTTTTCAAATGAAATGGTTAGAGGCCTGAGGGCAGAATGCTATCTTTTTATTAGTTATTGTAAGTTTACTATACTATAGTCAAATAGTTCATTTAGATATCCTTTGTTTAGAACTTGGTCAGTTTAGTTTCTTTTTTTTTACCAAAAAAAGTTCCTTTGACATAAATAAAAACATATTTGCTGCATCTGATAAGCTAGATCAAGCTAAACCAAGTATTTAATGTTTTATTTATAGTCTTTCTACTATTACTCATTTTAGGGTAATCAATTTGAGAAAAAAATGGATTAAATTTTCCCAAGTCTGATTGTGGATATTAATTTCTTCTTGTAAAACGTATACGCTTTAGGCTATGTTACTAGGTGCGCGTAGGTTTACAAGTGTTACATCTTTCCAGTGGATGCTTTCCTTTTCCACTAAGTAGTAATTTAATTGCATGTAGAATTCTACACTGACGGTTATTCCCTCAGCATTTGGAAGATATTCTTTTTCTGGGATCTGTTACTGCTGATGAGAAGTCCTCTGTCAATCTAACTCATTCCTTTGAGGTATAATACGCCTTTCATCTCTGCTTCCCTTTCAAGATTTTTTTTGGGGGGAATGGAAGTGTTCTTCAGAATTGCTTTTATTTACCTTGTTCAAAATTAGGTAAGCTTTCTGACAACTGTGGCTTTTCTAAACTCTGGAAAAGTATTAGCCATTATTTCTTTCCCATTTTATATTTTCATTCAGCAGTTCTTCTTATATACATAATGGGTATCTAATATCTCTAATCAGGTAAATAAATATCAAGTGTGTGGGTATGCAGAATTTCTGAAGCTACGTTATCAATCAAATATTAATGGTAGGATTGTGTTTTTTTCCTTTAAGAAATAATTTACCCACGTTTTCAATATCAGAATTACTTCAAGTTATATTCTATTGCAGCGGTTCTCAACCTGTGGGTTGCGACCCCTTTGGCGGTCGAACGACCCTTTCACAGGGGTCGCCTAAGACCATCCTGCATATCAGATATTTACATTACAATTCATAACAGTAGCAACATTACAGTTATGAAGTAGCAACGAAAATAATTTTATGGTTGGGTCACAACATGAGAAACTGTATTTAAAGGGCCAGAAAGTTGAGAACAACTACTCTATTGGAAAAGACCTTTGAAGCAAAATAATACATTATTAAAGTTTTAGATTTAAAAAGAACTCTGATGACATAAAAGTATATGATACATCAATACACACGAACCAGGTTTTTACACAAGTTAATTACATTTTTTAAACCTCCAACAAGCCTAACTGATCTAAATAAACTGTGGGAAGTGAAGGACCTAACCAAAGCTTTTGCAAATACAGATTCAGTTAACTTCTAAAAGAAGCTTCTAAAAATGTGTATTTTCAGGCTAGTGTTCTCTCTTAAAATTCTAGTTAGCCTTCACCCTATTTTACTGCAGTTAATTGTAAGTTATTTGAGAATAATGTGGTTCTACCTCATTTAACAGGTGAATATAGAGTGATTATTCAGCAATGCCTTATATTTATAGAATACTTCATAGTTGTATGTTCTTATACATCAATTTTCTACTAACAAAAATTAGGAGACAGTAAGACAGGTCGCATCATGGATACTTTATAGAAACATGTGCATGAAAGTGATTTTTCCTAAATCACATGGGTAATAAGGGACCACGTCTTTTTGACACGTAGAATCCAGAGTTCTATCATATACTAACCTGTCTTCCTCATTTTAAAAATCAGATGAGAATTTATTTCACTAAATTGCTTATATATCAGTTACTAGCTTATCTGTATATATAAAAGCCTAAGCGACCGGTTGACCAGATGACTGGATGATCAGATGACCAGCTGGGAGCTATGACGTGCACTGGCCACCAGGTGGGCAGATGCTTACTGCAGGAGCTGCCCCCTGGTGGTCAGTGTACTTCCACAGTGGGGGCACCACTCAGCTGACCGACGGGCGCCAGATGGCGGGCTCATGGCTGACGAATGCAGCTGTGGTGGCATGAGTCGTTCCCCCCTCCCACCTCCACAGCAGTGTTAGTGAGCAGTGGAAACAGCAGGTGCAGCAGGGCCTGGATGAGCAGGAGCGGCGCCCCGGCCACCTGCCACCTGTTGCTTCAGGCACTACTACATCCCCCAGGAGATGTCAGACTGCCAGTTTCCAACATCCCCTGAGGGGTTCCAGATTGCTAGAGGGCGCAGGCCAGGCTGAGAGACCCCACCAGTGCATGAATCCATGCACTGAGCCTCTAGTCCTATATAATAAAAATCTAATATGCTAAGTGTCCGACCGTTTATTCCACCGTTCCACCAGTTGCCTGATGCACACTGACCACCAGGGGTCAGACGCTCTGACTGGTATGTTAGCTTGCTGTTGGGGTCTGGCCGATCAGGATTGGGCAAGACGGGCCAGACATGCCCTAGACCAGTGGTCGGCAAACTGCGGCCCCTTGAGTGTGGCTCTTCCACAAAATACCACATGCGGGCGCACACATACAGTGCGATTGAAACTTCGTGGCCACACTCAAGGGGCCAAAGAGCCGCAGTTTGCCAACCACTGCCCTAGACGAATCCATGCACTGGGCAGTTTTGGCCCGATTCCTGCAGGCCAAGCCAAGGGACCCCACCAGTGGACGAATCTGTGCACTGGGCCTCTAGTATACTATGATACAGATAAGAATTCTGCCTTGTATCTTTTAGGATGAGGCTGTGTATATATGTAATTAAAACCTACGTTTTTAGCCAATTAAGTGATTATTGAAAAATATATCACAAAATTATTTAACCTCCACTGAACATTTCTAGAACTTCTGATTATATGAGTATATTATTCTTGAAACTGGCATCATTTGTTAGTAGAACAGACAAATGTCACATGAAAAGACATGATACCTAGATACATGTCATAGAGGTTCCACCTCCAATTGAGTCATCCAGAATACTGTCAGTGTCTTCCTTTCTTTCCTTTCTAAAAAAATGGCAATATATAATCACCTAAGCCACTGTATATCAAAGATATATAATAAATATCAACTATTCTCCCCTCCTCCCACTCTTCATAAATTTCTCAGAGTGGGCTGACCCTACCTTTTATCCTTACTGACTCCCCATCAGCAATGAAACACAATCATGGCAGCAAAATAACCAAAAATTAAGAGATGCTGCCAGAAGACACGTCCCACTTCCAGAAAATTGCATGTATGAATATGTCCTCAACACTAAATGTGTCACATTTTATAAATAAAACATTCTCTTCTTTGTCCTTTAACTCTAACGGGGACCCTAAAACAGCCTCCTCTCTAAATCACACGATGGAAAAACAGCCTCGTACTCAACACCTTGAGCTCTAGTGAGTCAGCAGCAAAACACTCCTTCCCACCTGTCAGGAGGTAAAGCAGGTGTTAAGTCTAGTCCATACTAGGCCTACATTAAAGCTTCAATAGTTTTTACCAGGCTGCCTAATTTTACTCTTGATATTCTTTTCCCTAAGCCTAAATGTAATTTTTCCTGCCTTTTACCCAAACCTACCTGTAAATTTTTTTGTTTTTGTTCTTTTTTCTCAACACAAAAGAAATCTCTGAGCACAATTTTGGTCTCTCCACAGACTAAAAAAGTGACAAAAGAATCCCTCTGCTAATAAACTGATTTAATAAGGTGACTCTGGCAGTCAAATCAACACAATAACAGCATCTACAAAAAAAAAAGTTCTTAATCTTCTGCCACCACAGGCCCCTCTGGAGAAGCCTGCGAAGCTCTTCCTAGGAAAGTATTTTTAAATGCACACAGTAGGCCTGGCCTGGTAGGTCAGTGGGTTAGCACTGTCCCAAGGTTGTGGGCTCAATCCCTGGTCAGGACGCATACAAGAATCAACCAATGAACACACAAACACGTGGAATAACAAATCAATGTTTCTCTCTCCCTTCCTTTCTCTTAAAAATCAATCAATAAATGACACTGAAAATGCACACACTAAAATAACACCAAAAATAATTACATTGAAATTATAAAAATATAAAAAGCACAAATTTATAAAATAGTAATATATGTGCTTCTTTATTACTCTTTAAACAATATCTATTAGTGGGCCTAATAATTAAACTTCTAAGTAATGATGAGTATGAATGTCGTTTTAAGATATCTGCAACAGTAATGGATCTGCAACTTCTATTGGAAACAGTCTCTGCTACTGCTAATTGCTACCGCTGCCCACTTTCATAATGAAAGGAAATATGTAAAGATGTAACCTTTTTCCCTTTCCAAGTTCACAGACTGATAGGCTTAAAACCTCTAATATACACAGAAATATGTTTAGCTCAGTGTTAAGACTGTATTTAATAGCAATAATAACGCACTTTTACCAATATAATGCCATGTGATTCCCTAAGTGAAATAAAAAGGACAAGAATTTTAAGCTCCATTTTGCAAATAAAGAAATAGGCCAAAGGCAAGGACAAGGGTAGTGAATGGAGGGAGTAGTTGTAGAATGCTCATGATTCAACCACTGTATCTACATTATATAATTTTCATAACAGCTCTTCCTCCCCCTGCCCAACATAGGTGTCACAATCCTTCATTCTTCTAAGGAAATGCAGGTTAAGGTAAGTGACTTGCACAAAGTACTGAGGCTAGTTCACAAAGTCAGAGGTCCATGGAAATCCTAGTCCTGGGCTCTTGACATTCTGCCCTTTTCTAACATCATTCTAGACAAGTTCATCCCAAGCAATGACTAGAGCACATTAATACTGGAATAATCACCTCTGTAAATGAATTTCGTGTAAGGGTGATATGCAGTTCTAAATAAGAAATTAAGTACTTTTTTGTAGGAAATTATTTTTGTTCAAGAATATTTTCAAGGGCACTAATCAGCTTGGCTCAGTGGATAGAGTGTCAGCCTGCGGACTGAAGGGTCGCAGGCTCGATTCTGGTCAAGGGCATATGCCTGGGTTGCAGGCTCATCCCCAGTAGGGGGCGTATGAGAGGCAGCCGATCAATGATGTTTCTATCTCTCTCTCCCTCTCCCTTCCTCTCTGAAATCAATAAAAATATTTTTTTAAAAATATTTTCAAGGAAATGAAATATTCAACATTTTTAGCAAAATATACATGTTACTGAAAATGCAATGTCTAGAATTTAAATATAAAGGAAAACTGCAATATTTTTAAAATTTTTATATTGAATTTACATTCTCTTCTAAATTAATTTTATAAATTTAAAAGAAACACCATATCTGTATTATTCCCAAGGTAGGTAGAAAAATAACATTATCATTCACAATGACTAATTTTAAACACCAAAAGATAAGAAAGTTAAATCCAGTCCAATTTCCTCATTTTACCTTTATGGAAACATAAAAAATTTATATAATAAATGTTAAAAATAGAAAAACAAAGATAGGTTTAAATCCGTTGCACTGAAGTATTTACTCGTTTATACACACAGAAGTGCGTAACACCCTATGATGTACAATATGGTACAACTATATTCCATCAGAGTGTGACCTTCTCTGTAGTTTACACCTCAAATGTAAAGAGTATTTGGCATATGATTATAAATATCTGAATGTATGAAAGATATCTTAAAGCAGGGGTTGGCAAACTTTTTCAGTAAAGGACCAAAGAAGTAAACTTTTTAAGTTTTGTGGATCTTAAGGTCTATGTTGCAACACCTCTGTTGTTGTAGCCTGAAAGCAGACATGGGTAATATGTAAACAAATGAGTTATAATGTATTCAAATAAAACTTTATTTACAAAAACAGGCAGCAGGCTGGATTTGGCTCATAGGCCAACTTGTCAACCCCTGCCTTAAAGTATTTTAGCAGGAAATCAACACCTTCATTACATAATTTAAGTAAATGTGGTACCCATAAAGATATGAACTCACATATTCATGCTAGATTATGTATGACAGATCAATCTTGGATCTGATTTGGAATGGCCGTAAGAAAGAACCCAAGACATTTGGTGTATGACTAAGGAAAATATTCTAAAGGGAACTGTTAGAAGAAGGGCAATTCCATTACCATCGCCAGTGACTGGTTAGGTATATAAAGTACCCAATCCTGACCAAGGCGACTAGGTATCTGCTGGGGGGGAAGGAGGGGGCTTCTGGGAGAGAGACAGTTGGATACTGAACAGAATGGGATGCTAGCCCTGCTGCAGCCATCCTGGAAGCAAGGGAAAGCAGTTTTAACTATGAAGCTGAAGGGAAGACCACAGGGCAGAGAATTGGTACAAGAATGAGTCCTTGATATCATTATTGTTATTCTTGAGCCTCTAGACTTTATTATGTAAGATGGTAAATTTCCTCATTATTGAAGCATGTTTGAGACTTTTCTGTTATAACAGCCAAAGCATCTTAAATGATATAAGGATTTGAAAGTGAAGACTGCTCACTTCACAATTTCACCTGCAGCCATCCTTATTAATTACAACTTTTCACAAAGACATATTTAAGGTCCTGAAAGCCCGGAGACTATCTACAACTCAGAAAAATATATATATCAATTACTGATACTGAAATTCATAACTTTATAGTTTCTGTAATTGTGGAGAAACTAAAACAATGCAGTACCTCCTTCTTTGATACTGTATCTAAGACATTCTTCCATTAAGATGTTTTTTTCTCTCTAAAGCTGGGGTTAGCAAACTTTTTCTATAAAGGGCCACATAGTATTTACTCTAGGTTTTGCAAAAAGTGCAAACTCTGCTATTATAGCTCAAGAGCAACCAATATGTAAACAAATGGCATTTCTGTGTTACAATAAAACTTTATTTTGCATCCATGGCTCAGTTGGTTGGAGCATCGTGCCATACACTGAAAGGTCATGGGGGGTTTGATTCCCATCAGGGCACATACCTAGCTTGCAGTTCTGTCCCCAGGTGGGGCACCTACACCTAGGAGAGGCAACCTATCAATGTTTCTCTCTCATATGGATGTTACTTTCTCTCCTTCTAAAATCAATGAAAACATATCCTCGGGTGAGAATTAAGATTTTTAAAAAATTTTATTTACAAAAGCAGGCTGGATTTGGCCTTGCAAAGATCTGACCTGATCTCTAAATGGTTAACAGTAAAGAGATTATCTCTCTTAAATCAACTTTACTAGAACTTAAAAATAGTTTATTTAAAATGTGTACAGATTATGTAGAAACGTAAAGTAACAAACTTTTCTTGCGCATTCTATTCATACCCATTAGATCATTTGATGTAGTCTAGTTACCTTATTTATATATAACATACTGTTAAAATGTAACAATATTTTGTTATCAGATATTACAGTAGAAAAAAAAATAAAACTTAATTCATATGCAAATTTGCATCTACTCACCAAATAAAAATAAGTAAATTAGTGAATTTGAAAAATTTCTCTACATACATAGTAATTATTCAAAGAAAAAAATCACCCTCTATATCTAACCTGAATGAGTAGCTCTCTTCCAGGAGTCTGACATTAGAGTTAAAAATAGAATAAGGAAGTGAATCAAATGGACCATATTTTCCTTCCAAACAGATCCCTGGTATAAAGATACACATTATATGGACATTTCACCACCCAAAATCATAAACCCTTTTTCAAAGGACACCATTTTCCACTGGCATTTATATACCTTACTCTAAGAAAACAAAAGGCAAATTTCACCTTTAATCATTAGTCAAGAAAATGTGCACATATACATAAGCACATTTAAGAATTATTATAGGACAGCCATTTTAACCTTTTTCATCTCATGGTACACATAATTACTAAAATTCTGTGGCACACCAAAAAACATATGTTTTTGTCCATCTGACAAAAAAAAATTGGTGTAATTTTGATTCATTCACACTGGACAGCTATTGTTGTACTGGCTGTTGTCATTTTTTTATTTGACAAGCTAAGGGAAAAGAGGTCAGTGACCCTAACTAAATAGTCAGGTATTGCATGTTTTAAAAATTCTTGCGGCACCC